GTGGGGGCGGGGGGGGGAGGGGAAACGACAGGTTTTCCAGAATGCCAGGGTGAGGTGTATGGAACTTGTTCGGGATGAGACGGGGAGCTGTTTGTTGTAACGCTGAGAGCTGGTTTCTATTTGAGTGGATCATTCTGGAGCTGGGCACAGAGGGCATGTGGAGGTCAGGAGGGAGCGGGGAGGAGGTTGTGGCTTTGGAGGAGCCCGGATCAGAGGCTTCTGCTCATCCAGTCCCTTCAAGGATCTGGTGCCGATGTTCCACCGGCCTTTGCTGGATGTTTCTCGGAGGCCAGGAAGGTGGAGGAAGGATTTTTAAGCAGAGGCTGTTCCTGGCCCTGGCAGAAGACTATGGGAATTCTGGCCAGAGGAAAGGCTAAGTTGGCTCCCCGCCTGCTGGGCCTCAGGCTCCCCCGACCCCGCCGCTCTAGCAGCAGTTGCATCTCGGGCAGATGCCTACACCCTATTTGTACACCTGCTCTAAAGGCAGGTAAATCTGTTCGAACCCCAGATGCTTTGCCGAGCGGGGCTTGGTGTAGGAGGGAGAGGAGCTGACCCATGTGAGCATCTCAGCTCCCGCTGCCTGTGGAGAAGCTCAGCTGCCCTGTCTGCGCAGTTTCACTGCAGCAAAGAGTTTTAATGGAATGAGAGTCATTTGAGATCTTATCTGACTGCCTGGGTTCCCCTGGGGCTTGAATAATCTGTGCCTTTTATTTTCACCAGTTTGTTTTTTTATCTGCAGTGCCTGGTGGGGAGGGGAAAATAACACGAGCCCATTAGAATATGGTTTAAAAAATTTACTCACAAAGGGTGTTATTCCTTTAATTTTTTTTTTTTCTATATCTCCCTCCCACCCTGACTACAGTGCTGAGATCATAAGCTGCTGAAGATCGAGAAGGGATAGGGCAGGAGGGGGGGCCCTGGGATCCAGGAGGGGGCGTCGGTCCTGCCCCTGGGAAGGGCAGGGGGACCTGGGGAATCTGAGCACCTGTTCACATCCCGTCATGGCCACCACCATGCCATGTGGTCCTGGGAAAGGCAGGCTTCTGGGGCCCTTTCCCCGTTGGGTTTTGGGATCTTAGCACCGCGTGAGGTGGAGCCAGACTGCCTGGGTTCAGTTCCTCGCTCTTTCGCTTCCCAGCTCTGTGATCTTGTGCAAATGATTTAACTTCTAGATGCCTTAGATTCACCATCAGAAAGTGGGGATAATGACAGTGCCCCCGTCGCAGGTCTCTGGCGAGCGTACGGGGAGATGGTGCGCGGAGGGTGTCTGGGATGTGACCTAGGTCACACCTGATTTAGTACAGAGCCTGGCCGTTTCTCTCTGCCAATCAGTCTCCCATTTTTTGGGGCTCCAGACAGGGGTTGCGGGTGGAAGATGCTAGAGAGGGAAGAGGCAAGGTTGGGGCTTCTGACGCTCCCTTCCTGTGTCTCCCCCACCTGCAGCTCTCAAAGCTCAGCATCCCTGGCCCATGGGTCCCTGGATCCTCTCCCACCATGGCCTTTTGTTCCTACCTCCCCAGAGGAGCTGGACAGGGCAGGCCACACCAGGGATGATCCCACCCTCACAGGGGCATATTCTCACAGGGGCATATTCTCATCGGGGCATATCTCACAGGCTTGGCCTGGAGGGCCCTCTCTCGCTGCCTTTGACTTGGTTTCCCAGCCCTCAGTCCTCACAGTAACACCATTGCTCCTCCTTGCGATGGGTCCAGTTACAGAGGCCTGAGCACGCCTGGGTGCATGCCAGGAGCACTCTAACCCTCATCCCTGTAACCCTCAACCACCCCTGAGGCTGGGACCTGGCCGAGCCCTCAGCTGGAAGTGGTGGGTCTGCCCTCCAGGATGGGGCTGAGGTGGCCTTGGGACATGACTTGGTTTTACCCCTGCAGGGTGACCGTGACCATTTGCCTGGCCTCCCCAGACACCAGTGTCTGTCTGCAGGGGAGGGGTGTTTGGAGAGGACTCATGCTGAGGTCCTGCCAGCCCCGACATCTGTGCTGGGAGGTGTGAGAGGGAGGACCAGAAGGGCAGTCGGCTGTCCTCAGGGCAGAGTGACAGAAGGCTCGGTGCTGGGACTGAGCAGGACGCATTTGGGAGGCTGGCCGGGGCTGGAGAAGCAGGCCAGACCCCCGGTGCTGGTGGGGGAGCCCCATGGGCAGCACCCTCAAGTGTAGTGATAGGCAGTGCTCAACCTCAGGGCCAGTGAGCAGAACGGGCACTAGCTCTTGAGTGCCGGGGGCACGCCAGGCGTCACATCTGCTCTTTCCAGTGCTCACCACGGCTCCACATGGTTGGAATTATTCCCCCATTTTCCAGATGAGGCGACAGTCTCCTAGGGGCTACGTGTCCAGCGCAGTGTCACGCTGAACTGGAGGCTGAGTGGGGATCTGCCGGGGCCCTTCTGGCAGAGCTAGCCTCCCACAGCCTGCAGGGCTGTTCTGTGGGCCCGGAGGTGGGGAGCGGAAGGGGACGTGGCCCCCAGCCCTGAGCTGCTCCGGCTGCCCCCCGGGCGCTCTCACGTTCAGTGGGAGCCGCAGCGCTGGGCACTAAATAAGCCCCTACTTAATGTCATTTGGAAATCACAGCCTTGCCGTTGGTGCCAGTCCTTAATGTCACTTATCCCAAGTGGGCCTTCAATTTTCAGCAACAACAGCCTTCTAATTTGGTCTCAGCCGCTCTGGTTTTGTGACAGGGACAATGGCAGTGGCAGATGGGAAGCAACAACTCCATTTTCTTTTAACGTTCCCAGGCGCAGGCAGGGAAGGCACCATCTGGAAGGAGAAGGTCAGATCATTAAGAAATATATATACTAATAAATTGCCAAGACTGGGTGGGCTGCGGGTAGGGGGGTGGTCGGGGGAGGAATGAGCCCCTGTCCTGGAGCTCCTTGAGAGCAGGGACACACTCAGCTAGTGCCCAAGTTGATTCCTGCTGAGGAGACGGGTGCCGCCCCGCAGGCGGGTGGGCTGTCTCGGCCATTACCCCGTGTGGCAGGCACTGTGTGATGTGCCCCTGTGGCTTAGTTCCTTGGCTCTGGGCCCTGCCTTTAACTTCCCCTGGCCTCTGCTTGCCCAGGGCACAATGGGGATGGAAACGCTGACCTCCCCTGGTGGCTGTGAGGATGAAATGAGACAGCGGGTGGGACAGCTTTATAAACTATGAAGTGCGGGGAACGTAGTCCTGCTATGCCAATGCCCGCCCTGTGCGTCGTTGTCCTTTCCTTGGCCTCGCCTCCTCCTTGGAAGGAACCAGGCTTGCTGTGCCTTTGTCTGCAGGCCCCAGTTTAGGGAGTGAGTTCACCAGCCAGGGACTCTGCTGCTTGAGGGAGTGGGTGAGCCGGGCGGGAGAGCTGGTGTGGGGCCGGCGCTGGAGCCTCGGCTGCTGATGCCTGACATTTGCGACTGTCTTTAACTTCTCCAAGAACATCCGCACCTGCCACCTCATTCCAGCTCCTCTTGCTGTGACGGACACTCCAGTGCCACCTTTCTTTGGCGGCAGTGGCATTTTTAAAAAGCCACTTTATTGAGGCATGATTGGCACACGGAAAGCCGTGCATGTCTAATGCACACGACTTGATGAGCTTGGAGATTAGTATGTGCTTGTGAACCCATCCCCACTTTCTGTGCCATAACAAATTTATCCAAAAATCCCCTCCTGCCCGCTTAGTTGTTATTTTTTGTGGTAAGAACAATTAATGTAAGATCTACCCTCTGAGCAGATTTTTAAGTACATCATACAGAATTGCTAGCTTAGGCACCATGCTGTACAGACTACCTAGGACTTAGCTTGTGTAACCAGGCCTGGTGCCCTTTATTGACGTCCCATTTCCCCTCCCCGATGATGGTACTTCTCCAGGGCTTGCTCTGCGCCGGCTGGTAAGGCTGCTCCCACAACACTTCAGTCCATGACCTGTCCTCCCATCTTCAGAGCTCTTGGCTCCCCTCAGCTTGATGTCACTGTGTTATGTGGCCCCTCTCACTTAGGGTGTCCCAGTGCCTCTGGCTCTTTGGGGCAAGGCTGCCTCCTTATTGTCCGGTGTCACTATGCCCAGGGTCAATCATGCCCATGGCTGTCTGTAGGGGGCTGGATGCTAGAAGATTGCCCGGTTTAATGCAGAGAACCTGGGCTGTGAGTTAGACAGGCCTTGGTTCCCATCTGGGCTAGGCCATCTAGGCACACGCGTGACCTGGTCAGCGTGATCCCCGAGTGTCAGTCTCATCTTCCATGAATTGAAAATCATTATCTGACTGTGCTTGGTTCTTGTGAAAATGAAGCTGGGGGACACGTGTATACCACTCAGTGTATGCCTGATTCACGGACACATAGTAGGTGTGTCCTAGCTGCGCTGCGCCCCTGCTGTCCGGGGTCCTGGGAAGGCAGTCGTCATGTGGTGTCTCCATGTAGAGCGTAAGGATGGGCTCCTTAGTGGGGAGACCTCTTTGGAAGAGATGGAAGTTTGCTCCCTCACTCACTCCTTTCATCCATTCTTTCAACCCGTATTTGCTGAGCACTAACTCTGTGCAAGCAGCATGCCGGGTGCCGGGGAGACAGTGATGAGTGAGATAGCCTGGATCCTGCTCCCCTGAACTTACATTCTAGGGACATATGGAGACAGATTATAAACAAGAAAGTAGACACACAGATTTTAGACCGTGGCGAAGGTTACGTGAGAAATCAGATAGGGTCTTTAGAGTCAGGGCCTTCCGCCTGAGAGATGGGGGCCACTGTAGCCAGGGTAGTCAGGGAGGACTTCTTGGAGGTGGCAGTATTGAGGAGCCCTGATCCATGTGAAGGAGCCACAGCAGAGAAGGTGGTTTAGTGGATGATCTTGAGCGCAGAGGTCTCCAAATGTGAGACCTGGGTCTGGGCTTGGGCCTCTGTGTCTATACTTGTAACAGGCCCCCAGCGGCTTCTATGCCCAGCTGGACTGGGGGACCTGGAGGTTTCAGGGTAGCTTCAAAGGAAGCCAGAGAAAGAGTCTTCCACTTCACCACCATCATCGCAGTCAGGTATAAAAGCAGCTGAACTTACATCATCATCGCAATCCAAAATCATCTTGTCCACATGCTGGTCTGTGATCAGGTCCCAAGGTAGCCAGGCCTGGACTGAGTGCATCTTAACCNTGTGACAGGGTCCCAAGGTAGCCGGGCCTGGACTGAGTTCAGCATCTTAACGCTTCTTGAAACCCCTTTCCATCTATTATTTCACTGGATGCTCATGACAGCCGCGGGAAGAGGGCATTGTTATAGTCCCTACTGCATAGGTGAAGAAATCGAGGCTCAGGGAATTGGGGTGATTTGCACAAGATTGCTAAGCAAAAGGCTGTTTAAGCTGGTACTCACACCTTTGGTGTCCAGACTCCTTGCTGGGGACCCACGGCCATGACCACAGAGTGAGGCTGGGTTTTATCTCAGATGGACAGGAGTGGGGCTGGGGGTGCAAGTGGCTGGGTCCGTCTAGGCCGCTATGCAGGCCTTGGGCCTGTGGGGCTCCCTGGGCTCCCAGGGCTGTTCACTACCCACTTGGGCCTTGGGCTCTGACCAGCTTCGCCCACCTCCATCCTTTTGCTATAGGAGAGGAGAACCAGCCTGGCTGGCGATGCCCAGATGAGGACAAGAAGAGTAAAGCCCCGTTCTGGTGCCCAACCCTGGCTTGCTGCATCCCTGCCTTCTCCTCCCGGGGCCTCAGCCTGCAGGTGAGTGGAGCAGATCTCGCTGAGCTCACCTTCTCCTGGGAGACCCAGCGTGTCCAGGCCGTGGCCACAGCAGGGGAGGGCCAGGCTCCAGCCCAGCGCCTCAGCTTCTTACTGATGGAGTTGGTCAAGCTTTTTTACTGCTCTAGGAGTCAGCTTTCTCACTAACAACATGGGGGTAGATGCCCTCCGTGGGTCAAGTGAACGGAAAATTCCATTATTTTGAGCTAACAAATAGCAATGATCTCATCTGTCCATGGCCTGACTCCAGCCCAGAAGACAGGCCGGAATATGCCCAAGCGGCTGTGCCAGACTTTGTGGGTTAGACCCTTTGTAGGCTGGAGCCGGGCAGAAGCCGGCTTTGATGTGGGCGGGGCGGGGCCCCTTTCATCGCCATCATGCCTCCCATTTGTCAAGCACCTACTGTGCTCCCCTCCTGCTCTGCCTCACTCTCTCATTTTAATATTTATGAGAACCCTATAAGTAGATATCTGTAGATATATTTCATAGGTAAGGACCACCTAAGGCTCAGGCAGATGACATGACTTTGTAAAAATAACACAAGGATGGATCCAGGAATTATAACCTTGTTCTAGCTAATTCCAACACCTGTGGTCTTCACCTGCACTGGTCATCTGTCCCTGATGTCCTGGCCACCCTCACTCCTTTTTCTGGAGCAAGTGCTGCCCATTGTCCTCCCAGGGAGACGAGGTTATCTAAGCTCTGGGGAGGGGAGAGCAAGCTTAGGACCTAGGCCCAGATAGATGAATCCTGAGAGATAAGTTGACTGAACTGTAGATTGGGGCTCTAAGTAGCTGAGAGAACAACTTTGAGATGCCAATTTATTCATCAGTTCATTCATTCATCCATTCATCTATCCATTCTGCATATAATTGTTGAGCACCTACTGTGTGCCGGGTCTTGTGCTGGCCACTGGGAATCTAGTAGTGACCAAAACATGCAACATACCCTCATATAGCTTTCAATCTAGAGGGAGATAGGAAAGACCCCAGCAAACAAAAGGAAATAGAAAAGAGTGATATGTGTTATAAAGAAAATAAATCAGATATAATAGGTACAGAGATGGGGCCAACGTATTTAGTGGGTCAGAGAGGGCCTCTCGGAGGAGGCAGCATTTAAACTGAGACCCATCTGGCAAGAAGGATGCCACCTCGTGAGGGCCCAGGGGAGGAATGTTTCAAATAGACAAAGCCACAAAGAGGCCCGCCATAGGCGCTGTCAGGGAAGCCAGCGTGGCCACAGCTCTGTGAGCCAGGAGAAGAGGCTGGGCAATGAGCTGCGACAGTATTGACACCTCCAGCATGGTCTCTGGGTAGAGCCCAACCAGAAGGGGCACTGCGCTGGGAGTCGAAACTGAATTCCAGCCCTGACTTTTCCACTGACTTGCTGTGTGACCTGGAGCCAGTCTTGTCCCCCTCTCCACTTCCCCAGACTTCAAGGTTACTGACTCCTAAATGAGGGGCCGGAGGAGGTGACCTCTTTGGGACCCCTCGCCTATGGCCATTAGACATTTTGTTAGAATATTCCCTCGGGGCTGGTGCTGGCCTGGGCCTTCAGCGCCAGCAGAGGGCAGCAGCCGCCTGGCAAAGGGTCCAGAGGGGCACCTTCGAGCTGTCCCCACTCTGCCTCCTTCCCCTGCCATCTGCCTGGGGTTTCTAGCAAAGCCCTGGAAAGGGCCAGGCCATCTCGTCCCATTGCTGTGCTGGCCAGAGAGAGACAGACTGGCAGGATCTCACTCAGGAAACAGGCCCCCGAAGGCCGCCTGGCAGGGATTTGGGGGAAGCAGTTGCAGGAGGAACAAGCAGTCGGTGGCTCTCCGTTTCAGCCTGTTACAGACGGAGCACCCGACCCCTGTGGGCAGCCCCCACAAGCCACCCAGCCCTGTCCTGGGGGCTCGTCTGCAGAGTGATTCTGATGATCTGGGGGTCCCTCCGCTGCACTTCTCTGGAGGCATGCAGGAAGGCCAAGGAGGGGGGTGGGCACAGGCCCGGCCCTGCCCCTCGCCTTCCCTGTGGCCTAGGACAATCCTGTGTCCTCTGTGGATCTCATTTCCCCTCTCTGCAAAGTAAAGGGGGGTGGGGTGAGTGTAAGTGATTTTCAACAAAGCTTAACTAGAAGCTGGCCAGTTTGAAAAATCCTTGGGGGTCCCCGAATATCATTCAGGCCCCTTCTAGCCAGAAGGTTCTAGGAGTGATGGTGAAATGCAAGTGCGTAGGAACTTCTCAGAGATCCTGCCAAGCCCCCCGCTCCCCGGCCCACCCTCAGGGATTCTCATTTGCGGCTTGAATGGGGCCCAGGAATCTGCAGGTTTAATGACCCCTGAGCCTTGCTGGTGGTTCAGACTAAAGTTCTGCAGCCAGATGCTGGCCTCAGGTGCCTCGATACCTAACCCAGCATGTGTCATCTCTGTCTCCGTAGCTTGGGGCTCTGGTCCACAGTCCTGTCAGCTCTCCCCTGCTGGGCTTCTCAGCGGTCAGCACTTCTCTTCCGCAGGGCTACCTCTGGGTGAGTAACCCTGTCCCCAGCCAGGAGCTCTGGCCTCAGGACAGCAACAGGGAGAGTAGCACTGGGAGGGGTTGCTGGAGGAAGCCGCCTGCCTGCTGGCCCCATTTTGTGCATTTTACCGAGCAAGGTCTCCCTGGGAACCTGTCGCGGGCCCTGTGCTTGGAGTTGGCAGGTGCAGCCTCACCAGGGACAACAGAAAACCGGGGACAAATAGTGAGCATGAGTCTTACAAAAGGCCATAGTGCTGTGAAGGAACTGAGTGGGAGCTGTGCAGAGTGTCTGGGTGGCAGGTCCCCACCACGGGTCAGGGAGCAGGGCTGGTTTTTACCCATCTCTCAGAGATCCCAGCCCCCCTTTCTGCCCTCGGGGTTCCTGGCAAAGCTTTCCTCGATTCAAATAGGCAACCTTCCTGCTGCTTATGTTGCAGATTGTGTCCTTCCGTAGACACCCTGAGGTGCCAGCCTCGCCACCCCTCTGCTTACTCCAGGGAAACTCTGGCTTACCCTTCAGAGTCCAACCCAAATGTCCCTTCTGAGGGCGATTTGTTCTTCACTGTTTCTCCAGTATCTAGCACACGGTGTATCCATCCATCCACCCATCCATCCATCCACCCACCATCCATCCATATACCCTTCCTTCCTTCCTTCCTTCCTTCCTTCCTTCCTTCCTTCCTTCCTTCCTTCCTTCCTCCCTCCCTCCCTTCCTTCCTTCCATTACCCATCCACCCATCCATCCATCCATCCATCCATCCATCCATCCATCCACTTACTCACTCACCCATCCCTCCATCCATTCAGCAAGTATATACTGAGTACCTACCTTGTGCTAGACACTGAAGTGAAACAGTGAACAGGCAGAGAAAGACATTTTTATTCATTTATTTAAAAAAAAAAATCTTTATTGATTTCAGAGAGAGGAAGGGAGAGGGAGAGAGAGAAACATCAATGATGAGAGAGTCATTGATCGGCTGCCTCCCGCACGCCCCCTGCTGGGGATCGAGCCCGCAACTGGGGCATGTGCCCTGACCGGGAATCGAACAGCGATCTCCTGGATCCTAGGCCGAGGCTCAGCTGCTGAGCCACGCCTGCCAGGCAGAGTGTATGTTCACTATTTGTTGATTGAAATTTACCCTAAAGACAAGGTGATAGAAAGGTGACTGGGTGTCTAGTCCACCTTAGCTCCATAGCTGGCTTCCTCTGGGCCCTGAATCTAACTTGCTGCCAGGTAGGCCAGGGACAGGTGACCTTCAGTGACAGCAGGATGCATGTGGCAGGAGGGGGATGCTTCTCTCAGTTTCAGCGGGAAGTTGAAGTTTGGGACAGGCACTGGGAGGGCAGGAGTTAAGCTCCGCCCCTGCTCTCCCGGCTCCTCCTGACGGCTCCTTTGGGTCTCTGCCCCAGGTTGGGGGTGGGCAGGAGGGCGCAGGAGGCCAGGTCGAGATCTTCTCCCTGAACCGGCCCTCGCCCCGCACCGTCAAGTCCTTCCCGCTGGCGGCCCCGGTGCTCTGCATGGAGTACATTCCAGAGCCGGAGGAAGGGGAGAGTGGAGATGGAGACAGGGACGAGAGCCACACGGCCGCGGACCCCTCGGCTGCGGCGCACCCCACCATCTGCCTGGGGCTCCAGGATGGCAGGTGAGGGGCTGGGGAGGAGGGCCCGAGAGCTGCCAGGGGCAGGGCTGGGAGGGTGTGTGGGGTGGGGGCTGTTTTGGTCAGCTTGTTGCCCACCAATATTCTCCACCCCTGGTTGGGAGAAGGAAGGTGGGGACCAGGGTTGCCCAATGTGGGAGGCAAATTGTCAGGAATCTCTGGCCCTTTAACCAAGACCCTTCGGGGGCTGCTTCCCGCACTCTGGCTCTCTCCCGGGCAGCGTGGTACAGNCTTCGGGGGCTGCTTCCCGCACCCTGGCTCGCTCCCAGGCAGCGTGGTACAAGGTGAGCGCTTACATGTCAGCAGGACCTGGGTTTGAATCCACCATTTCCTCCCTGTGATTCCGGGTCTCACCATTTAACCACCCCGAGCCTCAGTGTCTCGTCTGTAGAACCCCTCCATGCAGGGCCAACTGTGAGAGTCCAGGATGTGGACACTTGGGCCATCAGTTTACTTGGCTGTGATTGATAGCATCCACCCCCCTGTGGCCTCAGTTCCCTTTGCAGCGAGGGTGAGGGTCCCGGGCATGATCCGTGGGCAGAGTGGGCTCCTCGGTAAGACATGCTCCGAGCTTCTGAGTCAGCAAACACATCCTTGCAGTAAGGGGAGCCCCGGCCAGAGCTCTGTCCTGCTGGGAGCCATAGCCAGGTCCAGTGGATGGAGAATGAACCTCCATCCTGGTTAACTGGCAGGTAAAGATGGTGATTCATGAAGACCCTGAGACGGGCCATGCCCTACACCCTCCCTGCAGCTCTGTGCTTTCTGCTCCTGTCCTGGGGGAGGAAGTGTTTCCTGAGCACCTACTATGTGCTGTTGCCCCGGCTAGGGTGTGTGGGACTCACAGCAGCCCCACTGTGAAGTGTTTCCTTTGTTTCCTACACAGTAAACCCAGGAAGAAGCAAAAAGTTAATGCAGAACTGACGTGGAGACCCTGGAGGCTCCATGAAGTCCGGGCCTAGGTGCGCAGCCCGGTGACTAGGAGGAGCTCAGAGAACACCTTTTCTGTTTTTAATGAGATAAAATTCACAGAACATAAAAGTCACCATTTTAAAGTGTACAATTCAGTGGCTCCCAGTACATTCATGATGTGCAACCATCGCCACTCTGTAGTTCTAGAACATTCTCACCATCCCCCAAAGAAACCCTGTACCTATTAAGCGGTCACCCGCAATTCCCATGGCTCTCCTCCCCCAGGAACTGCTCACCTGATTCCTATCCCTGTGGACTTGTCTCTTCTGCACCTTTCATAGATGTGGAATTATACAGCATGCGGCCTTTTATGCCTGCCTCTCAGCATAACCCTGTCCAGTTCGTTCATCTAGCACGCGTCCCTGCTTCCTTCCTCTTCATGGCTGTGGGCTATCCATCATGGCCCCAGGTTTGAGAGGGGACCGAGGCTCAGCAGTCTGGGGTGGATCAGGTGGAAGGTGGCTTGCTGGATCCACCCTCTGGTCTGTGTGACCCTGAAAACTCGGGTCAGCACCTTTACTGCGCTGCTTCTGGAGCCCCCTGCCTCCTGAGTCTTCCACAAGACAGAGGCCAGGGAAGGCACCATCCTAAAAGGCGCCCGTGGAAAAGTGAGCTCCTAAATGTGGCATGAAGGCCGGGCCACTCAGCAGGGGGCCTGGCTGGGCAGAAGGGAGCCCCCAGCCCTTCTCTCCTGGAGAGCGGGGGGGCTAAGTGAGTGACTTGGGCCTCTCCCCACAGCATCCTGGTCTATAGCAGCGTGGACACAGGCACCCAGTGCCTGGCGACCTGCAGGAGCCCGGGCTTGCAGCCCGTGCTCTGCCTGCGGCACAGCCCCTTCCACCTGTTTGCTGGCCTGCAGGATGGGACCCTCGCCGCCTACCCTCGGACCAGTGGTGAGGATGGGGCTGGGGGTGGGCGCAGCCCTGGGCACTGACCGGGAACCCGATCCTGTGCCAGTGGTTGTGGGAGGCAGGCCAAGGAGGCAGCTCAGAAACAAATCAGGGCATCTGAGAGCTGGGGGATTGGAGAGCCCTGATCCCCATCGGGGTCCCTGCAGGAACGGGGTGCTCACTACTGCACAGGTAGCTAGCTCCGTCCATTGGCAGGAGACTCCAGGGGATAAGAGCAAGGATTCTGGGCTCACACAGACCTGGCTTCTGGTCCAGGCTCTGCCCTGATGACAGCTATGCTCATCGGTTGGGGGCTTCTCCTCTTTATGCCTCGCCTCCTTGATCTCTAAAATGGTAATAATGGGAAACCCCCCGCTTATGGGTTCTGGCAGCTCAAACAGTCCAGTGAAGGCAAAGCCTTGGACCTGGCCCAGGGATGCCCAGTGGAGTCCGGCATTTTAGTCTATTATTTTATGGAGCCTTCGACGGCACAGACTGGTGAGCGGCTGTGTTCCAGAAGCTGGGTGAAGGGCTTGATGTTTATGCATTATCTTAATTGTCACCACAGCCCTTGAGAATTGCCTCCCCTCTACAGACCCAGCCCTGAGGCTAGGGGAGGGGACACGGCTTGTCCACAGACACACAGCGCTGTGGCCCCCTGTTCCCTGTGGTCCCCTATCCCCTGTGGTTTGTTCATTTCCCAGTTTGATGATGACAAGGGCTGGGGGGAGAGGGTAGCTGCCCCTGGTGCCCCCCAGAGAGGGCTGATGGGTCTGAAGCTCTGTGGCCGCCCAGCCTCCCTTCCTCTCCCTCCCATGAGCCTCTAATTGCTGCGTCATCACAGCCTGTTGCAGGGTTATAAACGGATATTTGTACTGAGCTATTTTTTTTTTTGCCACTTGGCACTGTGTTGGTATTTTTAATTAGCTTTTGATAAGGCATTTATAGTTTTTAATTAAAGGGGGAAGAGGGAAGGAATAAAATTCCTCTCACCGTCAGAGCGTGCGTGTGAATACAAATTATAGGCTCAGATCTTCAATTAGACAAGGGGTTCTGGAGGGACCTCCACCCTGTGGCCCCCACTGAATACTATGAGCCATGCTCACCCCACTCTAGCCCTTCTGGTCCCAGTTTGGGCTGCCTTTGGCCCTTCCTCTCTTGGTTCTTGACTCATCAGTTTGGGTACCCCAGTTGGGAGGAAGGAAGGGGGGGTATGAGTTTGCTGGGGCTTGCCTAACAAAGTACCACAAACTGAGGGGTTTAAAAAAGGTAAATTTATTGTCTCACAGTTCTGGAGGCTAGAAGTCCAAGTTCAGGGTATTGTCAGGGCCCCGCTACCCAGGAAGGCATCAAGGAAGATCTGTTCCAGGCCAGGCGCCCACCTCTGGTGGTTCCCTGGCTGTGGCAGCGGGGCTCTGATCTTCACATGATGTTCTCACGAGTTTGTGTCTGTGTCCAAATTTACCTTTTTATAATAACACCCGTCACATTGGATCAGCGGCCCACCGTACTCTGGTATGACCTCATCTTAACTAATTATATCTGCAGCAACCCCATCTCCAAATAAGGTGACATGCTGAGGCCCTACGGGTTAGAACTTCAGCACCTGAATTTTTAGGGGACAATTAAACCCATAGGGGGTTTTGGATCTAACCACTAGCCTTTAGCCTAGGGTTGGATTTGGTAGTTTGTCAGAACCAGAAGGGCCATTGGACACCATTGAACTCCACACCCTCATATTCCAGGTGGGAAGGGACTCCCCAGAGTATCAGGGATGACCTGAGACCTGAGCCCAAATGTCCTCTTTCTGAGGCTAGAGCCCTCTCCAGGTGTAAAGGGGCCTCGGCTTCTCTAAGCAGAGCTGGCAGCCATCTGGCCTGCAGGAGAAGGTTGAGACGTCTCTCCTTGGCAAACATCTGTCCACCAAATATTTACTGAGCACCTACTATGCACCATGGATACAGTGGCCAGCAAAGCAGATGTGACCCTGCCCTCACAGAGTTTATAGAGGNAAATATTTACTGAGCACCTACTATGCACCATGGATACAGTGGCCAGCAAAACAGATGTGACCCTGCCCTCACAGAGTTTATAGAGACAGAATTAGTCAAGTGAACAAGTAGGGAGCTTACGCTTATGTACCATGCTGGGGGTCCTAAAGGAGGGAACAGGGTGTCAGGGGAGAGCCTGACCCTTCTGGGCATGAGGTGGGCTGGTCAGCAAAGGCCTCTCCAAGGAGCAGGATACTGAAGCAGAGTCCTGAAGAAGTGGCCAGGCAAGTGAAGAGTTGAGGGAATGGTGTTCTCGGCAGAGGGACCAGCATGTGCAAAGGCCTGGAGGCCTGGTCTGGTGGGGGAACCCAGAGGGGAGGCCATCTTGCTGGATAGTAATCAGAGGGAAGTGGCATGAGGTGAGGTCTGGGAGCAGATGCTGGATCCTGTGGGCCTTGGGTTTGTCTCAGTCGATGGGAAGTAGAGGGAGGTGTTAGTGGTGGAGCACTGTGCGCCACCTGGCTGGTGGACAGGAGTGGAGGCAGGGAGACTGGCTGGAGGCTGCAGCAGCCACAGCCAACTGGGCAGATGAGTCTGTGTCACTCTCTCCTCATGAGCCCATCCTCTGTGCCTTTGGTTTGACTTTGGCCAGAAAAGCCTCTGGGAGAGGCCTTGCCTGGTGCTTCTGCCTCCTGTGGTGTCCTTCGGAGGTGGCCGGGGTAGGAAGTGAGGCTCTCAGAACGTGCTGCACAGGGTGGTGGGGGATTCCTCTCCATCACCTTCCACCTGGGCTGCGTGTGGCTGCGACTGGATCGCCAGTCTTATCCATGACCCAGCCGTGGGACCTCCTGCAGACTCACTAAGGCCTTGGATACCCCTCAGATACCCCAACTGCATCCCAGCCCCAGAGCCGGAGCACAGAGCCCCAGCCCTGGGCCTGCAGAGCCCACCTCTGGTGCCCCCTGGTGGCCTGCAGGGCCTGGGGGTTGTGAATGATCCAGACCCTTATCCTGGGTTTGGAGCTAGTATAGGATGAGAGGTTACCATACTTGGCTGAGACCAGGCCTGGAAAAAACTGGCATCCCTGGCCCACACTTTGGCTCACTGCAAAAGGGCAGGACCAGAAATATTAACTTGGAATTTGCCTGAGTCCTGGAGGACCTGTGGAACCAGCAGCTGAGAAGTGACTGAGGAATCCAAGGCCATGAGGTCACTTTGAGTCCTGGTGTCAGAGCTGGAGGGGCCTCAGAGTTCAACCTCCAGTTGACAGGTAGGGGAAACCGAGGTCAAGAGCACTGTGGCGATGGTAGTCATTCATTCATTTGTTCATTTGTTCACTCACTCAGAAAATATGGATTCAGTGCCCTGAGGTCCCAGGCACTGAGCAGGACACAGGGCCCCCAGAAAGGAGCNTATGGATTCAGTGCCCTGAGGTCCCAGGCACTGAGCAGGACACAGGGCCCAGAAAGGAGTGGATGGCCACTGTCCTTGCCCTGTCCTGTGTTCGAGCAGAGCTACCTGGATCCCTTCTGCCTCCCTCATCTCTGAGCAGGCACAGGAGCATGACCAGGCCTGGGTGCAGGTGTGGGAATGTCCCTGGTTAGATGCTGGGGATGTGGGCCAGGGTCACTTCCTGCAGGAGCCAGATGAGGGAATGGGTGAGGGGCAAGGCTGGGGAGTGAGACCCAGCTTTGAGACTACACCTGTTACTTTACCTCTTGGAGCCTTAGTTTCCTCACCTGTGAAATGGGGATGAAGACACCCCCGCCACACAGGCTGGCTGTGAAGGTCAGGTGTGACCAGTCACACAAGTGCCCAGGATGGAGCCTGGAGTGTGGACTTGTGCTTGTCCCTCCCATCTAAATGATTGTTACTGTCCTTATTACTGACCAGGCATGGCTACCCTTTGGACCCCTCTCAGTGTCAATAACTTTTACTCCGTGTCCTGCCCCTGGCTCCAGCTGGATCTGGACCCCCGAGGGAAACAAGCTGGGCTTTCTACCAGGGGAGAGGGGTCTCCGGCTTCTCAAAGGTGCCTTTGCTGAGACAGGGCCTTCATCTCCCTTCACCTGGCAGTGAGAGAGCTGATGACGGGCCCAGATGAATGGGCTCTCATGCAGGGGTGGGTGTGCGTGTGAGTGTGTGAGTGTGCATGCGTGTTCTGGAACACGTGTCTGTGCGCCTAAAGCCTGGAGGGCAAGGAGCGGGTGGAAGGTGGATCTCCCACCCACAGGGGGTTCAGGGGGTTCTCCCTGCACAGAGCTCACAGTAATTGTGTTTGAATCTCAGAACTGTGGCCCTTGAGGCTGGGAAGAACCTTGGAGGTCAGAGTTCTGTCGCCTTGGGGAGTAGATGGGAAAACTGCTAAGGATCCCACTGTGGGCCCTCTAATCGGGGACTCCTGTCCAGTGTCCTTTTGATATCACAATACAGGTGTTACACTTTAACACAGTTTATCATTCTGTCCTCGAGTCAGGACATCTTACAGGGTTCTGGAGAAGCCCAGCAAGTGGAGGTATGGTCAGTGCATGTGTGACCCTCAGGGCTATCAGACTCTAGCTCCTGCCCCGGGCTTAGCCATGGCCATGCTGTTCTAGGAAAGTGAAGGGCAGAGGTTGCAGGGGTCCCAGTGCCCATCACCACTGTGCCCTCGGGGCAGAGCCCCCATTTCCTAGTTTTCGAGACGTGGTTCCAGCATCCCCAACTGCTTCCTGGGAAGGAGGTCTCAGTCCCCACCTTTGCCAAAACTCCAGCTTCTGGCTACAAGCACTACTCACCGGTGGCCACTCGGGGGCGCTCAAAGCCTTGTATTTTGTGGCTCTGGTGTTCCGGTGGGGGTCAGTGTGCCTCGCGGAGGCCTGGCTGCCTTGGGGCCACTTGCCCCTCCTTGCTCAGGTACGGTCCCAGAGCCCTCTGGAAGCTCTTGGAGCCTGGAAGGGCAGCAAGGGTTGGGGAGTTTGGCAAGGGCCGGAGTCAGCTGCGTTTCAATACTGCTTGGCCTGTCAGCCCTTGGGTGGCTTCGGGCAAGTTCTCAGCTCTCTGGTCTCCATTGTCACATTAGTCAGATAGAGCCAACACCTGTTTCCACAGACTGCTACGTTGTGGCAAATGACACCAAACAGCATGAGCTAACGAGCACCCGGTACTCTCTAGCTATGTGATCGGGGCTGGCTATTTAAACTCTGTGTCTCCGCTCCCTCAGTTGTAAAACAGAGATAAGAATAGAACACAGGCTGGGAGTTAAGGAAACAATTCATGGAAACAGCGCCTGGCATGCGGGTAGACAGTGGTGCGCGGCACCCGCTGTCGACGCTCCTTACCGTGTGCCAACCCTGGGCTAAATGTTCTACGTTTCACCCGATCCCTGCAGCATCGGTGAGGTGTAGGCACGGCTATCATGCCCATTTTACAGATGAGGAAACGGAGGCTCAGAGAGGCGAAGTCACCTGTCCCAGTTCACGCAGAAGTTCAGAGGCTGCAGCCAGGGTTTGGTGGTTCCTTGGCTTGTCATGTGCTCGTGTGCCTGGGCTGGAAAGGCCTGGCTGTGTGTTGGGTGGAGGGGGGTCCCCATTCCCCAACTCTTGGGTGAACTGGGAGCTTGCCAATTTTAAGTAGGACGGAAGGGTGAGTGGCCAACCTGTTTTACAGGCAGGGAAGAGTAGGGAGAGAGGGAAAGCCTAGGGGTGTGGTAGTGGCGGGAAAACTGGTCTGCCCTCCGGGGCCTCTTCCTCCCACACCCTAGGCAGTGGCTTCCACTGTATACCCTGGTCTGTAACAGCTGTATCCCATCGTGTCACCAGCAGCTGGCTCACAGCTGGGAGAGTCTGTGATGGGGCTGCTTTGCACTCCTTCCAGGGACCCAGTGGGGGGCGTGTGGGGTGGTGGGGCACTGGCAAGTTAGCAGCAGGCTCCATCCTGCCTCCCAGGCCCAGCCACTGCGGCCTGTCTTTCCAGGGGGTGCCCCCATTTCTTCCCCCTTTCCCACCAGGCATCCTAACAAGACAGGACAGCCACTGGGGTTCTGTGTGATGTAAGAGAAAAACCAATCTTAGTGAACACTGCTCACCTGCCCGGGAAAATTCTTGGCCTGTTCTTGGGTGAGCCAAGCATCCCTGGGGTGGGCTGGGGACAGCCTTGTTCAGTGCCCAGCCAGGTCGCTTGGTTTGTTTCATCTTCAGGGTGGCAGATTGGGGACTGATTTCTTCTTGGGACTTTCTCCTTCCACACCTGGAGGCAGTGGTGTCCCTTGAGGAGAAAGGTCATCAGAGATTTTGGTTAAGGTGACAGATTGCAATGGCAGGCGAGCAGATCAGTGAGAAGGCAGGTGTGTGTGGAATGAATGAGCAGGAGAGAAAGGGAAAGAGGAAGAGACGGGGCGAGTACAGCCCCCAGGGGAGGGGACATAAGCGAAGGCAAATGGGAACAGCCTGGGAGGAGGGAGGGGGCCACAGAAACAGGTGAGAGGGTCTTGCGGAGCCAGTCTGGGCCCACCGCAGCAGCCGTGGATCTCGAGGGTTGAGGGGCCCTGGGCCCTGGGCCCTGACCTGCTTCCTTCTTTTCCCTTCAGGAGATGTTCCCTGGGACCTGGAGAGCCCTCCCGTGTGCCTCACAGTGGGGCCAGGGCCCATCCGCACCCTGCTGAGCCTTGAGGACGCCGTGTGGGCCAGCTGTGGGCCTCGGGTCACTGTCCTGGATGCCACCAGCTTGCAGACTCAGGTACTGGTCTTTCCTCATGGCTCGTGGCCCCTACTCATGGGGCCGTCAGCTGAGCACACCCTCGCTGACCCTCCTTACCTTCCACAGTGCTCTCAGGTCCTGACTGTGTCTCAGGAATCAGTCAGAGTTTGTCAGGGAGCAGGGGCCACCCACGATCCCTGCCGGGCCCTACCTTCTGCCCCCACACGCATCCCCAGGGCTGCCGTGAGGGGAAGGGGCCTGACTACACTGGGCTGTGATCTGCATTCTGTGTGTCTGTTGCTGCCAGTGACGGTGCCTGTCCTCGCACTGGTGCCCGGGACCCAGCTGTGCTGAGGGGACAGCTGTTGTAGACACAGCCATCCTGGAGGCTGGAGGCAAAATGGGAACTGAGAGGTGTTTTTGGAAGGATCTTCCAAGGAAGGGTCCTTTGGACCTGGGAACCACAGGCCTGAGGGAGCAGAGAAGTTGGCTGTGGATTGTTGGGGAGGGGTTGTGGGCAGCCCGGCCTAAGGATCTGGGGAAATCCAGGCCCCATGTGGCCCCTGCCAGGACCATAAGACTTTCTGGAGGGGGTGGAAGTGGGAGGCACCTCAAAGTCTCAGCCCCTATCCCTGTCCCGGCTGTGCCCACCTCGGGTCCACTGGGCATCCCTCCCTCGAGTGTGGTTTGCCAGTAGCTGCTTCAGATGAGACCCTGGCTTTGCCCCTGCCAAGCTGTCAGCCCTTGGACAAGGCACCAAGCCTTTCTGGGCCTCAGTCACTTCATCTATAAAATGGGATAATAGTGCAGAGCTTCCTGAAGGAGTGAGTGGGAATGTTTGTGTTTCACACAGTGCCTCACACAAAGTAAGTGTTCGATGAACACTAGTTATCGTTGTAATTATTTGCTTCACTTAGGTCCTTGCTGCCATATTGTGGTTTATTTGGAAAATCAAGCTACTTCCTTAGAGTCCGCGTCGGTGGGCGTGTGTCTGTATTGCACTGTGGGTCTGCCGTCCTCTCCCTTCACTGGCAGGAATGCTTCCTCCTGCCCACAGCCGTCCTAGGAGTGGGAGACAGATAGACAGAGGGAAGCACAGGGGCCTGGGCTAGGCCCTGCCGCCCTCTCATCGGATTCTGCCCCTCACCAGCCACAGCGCTGTCCTGCCCGGGCCCGCGCCTCAGCTCTGGCCCTGCTGTCCCTGGAACCGAGTGGCCACCAGGCTCCAGCCCGAGGCTGCGCTGATTTAAGATTAGTTCGGGATCAATATTGCCTTCACCTGCTTTGCACACCGCAGAGGGTGTCGGAAGGCGCTGGGTGGGGGCAGGCAGGGGGAGG